AATATATATAATGAATGTATAATATATATATATATATATATATATATTCAATTATTTATTAATTTTTGTTTGTATATTTTGTCTGCTTTGACTGATTGATTGATCGATCGATTGATTGACTAATTGATTGATTGATTGGTTGACTAATAACTATATTTATTGAGTAATTGATTGATGGATGGATCGATTGATTGATTAATTAATTAACTTATTACTTGATTCATTGATCGATCGATTAATTATAAGTTAATATTTGCTTGTTTGTAGGGATCCCTGGCTTGATAGCGAGGGTGACGGGTATAGACGTATCTAACGTGGACGTGAGCAACCTGCAGCTAGGCGGCGGTATCGATACCAGCTTACTACGACCCGCTATAGAGCAGGCACTGCGGGAGCGCCCGAACCACCGACCTAACACGGCTGGCTCATTCAGAAACTTCAGAAGCACATACCGTAACTAAGCCTTCAGTCCTGATCGCCCGCGGCCGCGTGTGTACGTTATATATATAAGTAAATAAATAAATATATATATATATTTATTTATTTATAGTGAGTAATGGAGCGAGGAAATGCAGCGGCGGACGCATAGAGAATAAACACAAAGACGGAAGGACGAACGGACGGACACACGGCCGGACGGACACACGAACGGACGGACGGACGGGCGGACGGACTGACGGACGGACGAATGGACACACGGACGGACGGACGAACGGAGCGACGGAGGGACGGATGGACGGACGGGCGGACAGACGGACCGACAGACAGACAGATGGACAGATTACTCTCTGTAGCGGCGGTAGAGTTGTTTTGAGCCATGATGGCTGTCGTGGACTGCGGTGGTCAACGTCTTCTAGTACGATGAGTGACGTCATAATTACAGCAGTGACGTCATTGTGTTCTGTGCGCCAGGTAAGCGGTACGGCACGGCGGCCGAAACGAGGTTACGTGGGCGGCGGTATGACGCTACGCGTCGCTTCGTGGAAGCGACAAACGGACGCTGGGTGACTGGCGAGCTGAACTACACAGTAGCGATCACGGAGGATGCTGATCAGGTAATCAATATACACGGAGATACATAGATACATAGATACATAGATACATAGATATATAGATACATAAATACATAGATACATAGATACATAGATACATAGATACATAGACAAACGGACGCTGGGTGACTGCCGAGCTGAACTACACAGTAGCCATCACGGAGGATGCTGATCAGGTGATCATTATACACAAAGATACATTGATACATAGATACATAGACACATAGATACATAGATATATAGATACATAGATACATTGATACATAGATACATAGATACATAGACAAACGGACGCTGGGTGACTGGCGTGCTGAACTACACAGTAGCCATCACGGAGGATGCTGATCAGGTGATCATTATACACGGAGATACATAAATACATAGATATATATATACATAGATACATAGATACATACATACATAGATACATAGATACATAGATACATAGATACATAGATACATAGATACATAGATACATAAATACATAGATATATAGATATATAGATACATAGATACATAGACAGATAGAGACATAGATACATGTTGAATAAAATGTTGACTTATTATCTAAATAATTAATTGTATTCCTACTAATAAACCATATAATATATATATATATCTTACAAAGATACATAGATATATAGATACATAGAATGTAATGATACATAGACAAACGGACGCTGGGTGACTGGCGAGCTGAACTACACA